AACTTTGAGTACTTGATGCAGCTCAATACCATTGCGGGACGGACCTACAATGACCTGTCTCAGTACCCTGTGGTGAGGGCCCTGCCTGCCTCCGCCAGCCTGCTCGGCGTGTGCTCCCTGGGGGCTCACTGAGTGGGGTCCTAACTAGCTGTGCCCGAAGCCTTGGCGCTGTTCCCTGCCACCCTCAGTCCCACCCAGCCTGGGCCTGGCTCCTGCTCTCCACTGCCGTCTCCCCTCCCCTCCCCGTGAGCAGGCTCTGTGCCCATCTGGGCAGGCAGGACCCTCATGTGCCCCTTCCCTGGGTGGGTGGCCAGTTCCCCTGGGTCTTACAGGACTACGTGTCCCCAACCCTGGACCTCAGCAACCCGGCTGTCTTCCGGGACCTGTCCAAACCCATCGGTGTGGTGAACCCCAAGCATGCCCAGCTCGTGCGGGAGAAGTGAGCATGTGGGCAGGGAGGGCTCAGCGGGGTGGGGATGGCGAGGGGAGGAGGCTGCTCCTGATTCCCCCACCCACGGCCCCAGGTATGAGAGCTTCGAGGACCCGGCGGGCACGATCGACAAATTCCACTATGGCACCCACTACTCCAACGCAGCGGGCGTCATGCACTACCTCATCCGAGTGGAGCCCTTTACCTCCCTGCATGTCCAGCTGCAGAGTGGCCGGTGCGCCAGGGCTGCGGGCAGGGAGGGGGCCTGGCCCTGCCCCTCCCCTCCCCCCCACCCCGTCCTGCTCCCCCCCACCCCGTCCTGCTCCCCCCATCTCTTCACCTTGGCCTGTGGCCCACCCTCCACCAGCTTTGACTGCTCCGATCGGCAGTTCCACTCGGTGGCCGCAGCCTGGCAGGCGCGCCTGGAGAGCCCGGCCGACGTGAAGGAACTCATCCCCGAGTTCTTCTACTTCCCGGACTTCCTGGAGAACCAGAACGGTAGCATGGGGAACACTGGCTACCATGGGGGTGAGGAACCTGGGGTGGTGAGGATGCACCAGGGGACACTGCCGACCTGGCTCTCTGCTAGGCTTCGACCTGGGCTGCCTGCAGCTGACCAATGAGAAGGTGGGCAATGTGGTGCTGCCCCCATGGGCAAGCTCTCCCGAGGACTTCATCCAGCAGCACCGCAGGGCTCTGGTGAGGAGGTGACCACTCACAGACCGGCGGGGGGCCAGGGCAGGGGTCATGGCAAGGGGCTTCCACTGTCCCTGGACTGGTGGCCCCCTCACACCCCCAGGAGTCAGAGCACGTGTCTGCCCACCTGCACGAGTGGATCGACCTCATCTTCGGCTACAAGCAGCGGGGGCCAGCGGCGGAGGAGGCCCTCAATGTCTTCTACTACTGCACCTATGAGGGTGGGCATGCGCTGCACACTCGCGGGGGCTGGGGTGTAGATGCTGGGGGCAGAGAGGCCACAGGGGGAGTCCTCGCCATTCTCCCTCACAGGGGCCGTGGACCTGGACCACGTGGCAGATGAGCGCGAACGCAAGGCCCTGGAGGGCATCATCAGCAACTTCGGGCAGACTCCCTGCCAGCTGCTGAAGGTGGGGCCAGCTTAGCTTGGGGGGCGGTGGTCACGGTGCCCAGGCCCCGGTGCTGACTGGCCACGTGTCTGCAGGAGCCACACCCACCCCGGCTGTTGGCAGAGGAAGCCGCCCAGCGCCTGGCCCGTCTGGACACTAACTCCCCCAGCCTCTTCCAGCACCTGGACCAGCTCAAGGCCTTCTTTGCAGAGGTGAGGCGGCCGAGGCCTTGGCATCCATTGAGTGAAGTGGGGTGAGTCCCGCTGTCCCTACCCAGCACTTGGGAATGCTGAGTCAAGCGCACTGATTGAGAGGCACCTTGGACTATGCACTGGACACGGGAGGAATATGGAGGCAGGAGGGAAATCCGCCTTCTTGAGGGCCAGGACGAGCTGTAGACTCACCACAGAGTCTCTCAGGTCTTCGGGAGGTGAGGACGGAGGGGATGTGGCCTTGGACGCCTCCCTGCCTGCTCCCGGAAACGGTGCCCTGGGGTCTGATGTTTTTCGACTCCCCTCTTCCTAGGGGAGAGGGGATGTGGGGCAGCGGGGTGGGAAAATCAAGGCTGAGGCCAAGCTTGATGCTCTGGAAGGACCTTGTGTGTCCATCCCGGCCTCGCGCTCACTCTGAGATGCCCTCCTGCACGTCCCCCGACTCTCGGGCCTGTTTCTTGGAGGGGCCTCTGCTCCTGCGTCACTGAGTCTGGCATGTCTAGTGGTGGAGGCCAGAGGAAGGGATGGTGCCCCAGGAAGCAGGCTGCTGGCTTGGCCCTCCCAGCCCTGCTCTTTCCTCTTCTCCCAGCTTGTGCTTTTCCCCCACAGGTGGTCAGTGATGGCATGCCCCTTGTGCTGGCCCTGGTCCCCCACCAACAGCCCCACTCCTTCATCACCCAGGGCTCCCCAGACCTGTTGGTAGGTGCACTGGCCAAGGACCCCACCTCCACTCTCTAGCTCTGCCCCAAACCCACCGGTTCCCCCCTCTGCCTGCAGGTGACTGTGAGTGCCAACGGGCTGCTAGGCACCCACAACTGGTTGCCCTATGACCGAAACATAAACAACTACTTCAGCTTCAGCAAAGACCCCACCATAGGCAACCCCAAGTAGGACACAGGGATGGGGCGGGGCGGGGTGGGCTGTAAATGCTCACACTGTGAGGCACCTCCCCACCCAAGAAGGATGTCCCCCAGCACCAGGGGAGGGGTCTGGCCAGGATCTCCCAGGGCCTGGGTTTCCGCTCTGTGGCCTGGCTTCAGCTACTTCTCCTTCTTTGGGTCAGGATGCAGAGACTGCTGAGTGGCCCATGGGTGCCAGGCAGTGGTGTGAGTGGGCAAGCTTTGGCGGTGGCCCCTGACGGAAAGCTGCTCTTCAGCGGTGGCCACTGGGATGGCAGCCTGCGGGTGACTGCATTACCCCGTGGCAAGCTGTTGAACCAGCTCAGCCGCCACCTTGGTATGAGCAGCCTTGCTGCTGGGGAGAATGAGCCATGCAGGTGCAGGGTGGGTTCTGAGGCCAGTCAGAGCTGTGATGACAGTGTCCTGCCTGCGTCCTCCCCGCCCTGTGCAGATGTAGTGACCTGCCTTGCACTGGACACCTGTGGCATCTACCTCATCTCGGGCTCCCGGGACACCACGTGCATGGTGTGGCGGCTCCTACAGCAGGTGTGCCTGGTGGGCAGCCCTGTGGGGACCAGAAGCCCAGGCCTGCAGCCCATCTGCCCTGGTGGCCCTTGCCCTCCACCACTGTGAGCCAGGCTGGGGCTCTCTGGCCTTGGACATGGCCTTCTCCTTCCTGACCCTCAGCCTTCTCATCTGGGCCCAGTCCTAAGCCAGCCCTGGTTCCCACAGGGTGGTCTATCAGCAGGGCTGGCACCAAAGCCCGTGCAGGTCCTATACGGGCACGAGGCTGCAGTGAGCTGTGTGGCCATCAGCACGGAGCTTGACATGGCTGTGTCTGGGTCTGAGGTGCGTGTACACGTGTGCCCAGGGGAGGCTGGGTGTGCTGGGTACCGCCCTGGACCCCAGAACACCCTGCCCAGCATCCTAAACTACCCTTCCACAGGATGGAACTGTGATCATACATACTGTACGCCGGGGCCAGTTTGTGGCAGCACTACGGCCTCCAGGGGCTGCACTGCCTGGACCTGTGTCCCACCTGGGCCTGGGGCCTGAGGGGCAGATTGTGGTCCAGAGCTCCACGTGGGAACGCCCTGGAGCCCAGGTCAGGGGAAGGGGTGCCTGGCAGGCAGCGGGGCAGTTGGAATGGGGGCTGGTTGCTGACATGCCTGTCTTCCTCCAGGTCACCCATGCCTTACACTTGTACTCAGTGAATGGGAAGTTGCGAGCTTCGCTGCCCCTGGCAGAGCACCCTACAGCCCTGGCGGTGACAGAGGACTTTGTTTTGCTCGGCACTGCCCAGTGCACCCTGCACATCCTCCACCTGAACAAGTGAGCACCACCTCATATGAATTCATGGCAGAGAAGGGGGGGTACCCCCGTGGACCCACACACTGTACACATCTGTGGGGACATTCTAGCTTGCCGCATTCTTCATGGGGCGCTCTTGCCCTGCAGGAAATCCCCTTATGTCTGAGGGTTTCAACTTAGCCACCCTCGAAATGAGGACGGGTGGGGGAGGGGTATACGGGATGAGCAGGCCACATCTGGTGCGAAGTCCCCTTGGGGTTACGAATTCTTCACACCCCTGCCTGCTCCAGACTGCTCCCGGCCGCGCCCCCGCTGCCCATGAAGGTGCCTATCCGCAGTGTGGCGCTGACCAAGGAACGCAGCCATGTGCTGGTGGGCCTGGAGGACGGCAAGCTGATTGTGGTGGGCGCAGGGCAGCCCTCCGAGGTGAGGATCCGGACGGGGGGGGGGGGCTCGAACCCGCGGGGGGCCTACCACCTAGCTCATCCCACGTCCCTGCCACCCCGACCAGGTGCGCAGCAGCCAGTTCGCGCGGAAGCTGTGGCGGTCCTCGCGGCGCATCTCCCAGGTGTCCTCGGGAGAGACCGAGTACAACCCCTGCGAAGCGCGCTGAGCTCGCTCACGAGGCTGCTCAGGCTCCGCCCCGGCACCCTAGACCCAGGAGGCCCCGCCCCGCCCTCTGGGATTGACGGGTGGAGTCGCCGGAAGTCCGCTCCTCTTCGGCTGAGGGCTGGAGACCCAGGGCCAGCCTTCGCGGCTGTGCCGGCACATTTTGCACAGTCTGGGCCGGGGATCCCCAGCTCCCGAGTCCCGGTCCCCCTATCGAAGCACAGGACCGCCGTCCGTGGCCTTAATCCCCAAAGGCGGTCCCCGCTTGCCCATTCGCAGCAATAAACCTGGCCTAGTTTTGTAGCCGTTCCGTCTCCGAGTATGCGTGCACCCGGCGTCTCCCGTCCCAGCGACCCTGGGGCCTCAGTTTCTCCAGCTGTGTCGCCCCTGCCCCTGGGTCCCCCCCCCCTCCCCCGCCGTCTCGCGGCGTTCGCCTCCTTCGGCCTGATTGCCCCGCGCGCCCCCGCGTGGTAGTGGCAGTGCGCGCTCCCGCGGGGTGGTGGCAAGGCCGCGCCCTCCCCGGCCCCGCCCCCTCATTGTCCTGCCGCAATTTCCACCGACCCCAAGGCCCGCCCGAGCCGCCGCTCCTTTTTGCGGCTCGGGAGCACCGACGTCTGGCCGCTGGGATTCCCCTCGTCCTCCTGCAGCCCAGGGCAGCCCCGCGGCCTCAAAGGCCCCATCCCACCCGGCCCCGTGGATCCTGGCACCTTCGGAGGGCTGCGCGCCGCAGGTCAGGAGGGGCGGGGGGCAGAGGGAGCCAGGCTGCTCCCGCCGAGCCCCGCTGGTCCTGTGGGTATCGGCGTCCGAGGTGTGTGTGAGAATTCAGGGTGGCGTGGGCGCACGCGGTCGTCGCGTTGTGTGTGTTGTGGGTTTGGAGACTGGTGGGTCGGCGAGGAGAGGTTCCCATCCGGCAGTTCCGGCTGGGTGGGGTAGGTGCCAGGCCTGTCTGCTCCCCACCCACCAACCAGGATCCCGGAAGGGCCCCCATGCGGTAAGTGACACAAACGTACACACCTCACAGTGGAAGAGCCACAACAGCCCAGGGCCCAAACTTCCTTGGCCTCCCCACTGCCCCTAGATCGGGGCCCTTTCTTCCCTAGACCTCCAGGAGCCGTAGGTACCAAGAAATTCAGCCCTTAGGCTCCAGGTGGGTCCTGGACTGATTGGCCCTGTTCTTCAGGTTTCAGGTCCTCTTTGAATTCCCTGATGAGAAAGGATCGGCCAAGGCCCTATGTCCTTGCTGAGCCTAGCAGGTACCCTCCCACCCAACATCTGACCAGGAAAGGGCTGGACACTGACCTAGAGGAAGCAGTAGGAGCATAGTCACTACAGAAAGTCCTTCTGCCTTGGGACCTTAGCTCTTTGGGTTCAGGGCCCATGCTGAGATGTCTGGGAGTGAGCTCCCCACTGGCCCATGAATTTCTTCAGCCAGGTTCTGGCTGAGACAGTCCCCTTAACCTCCCTTACCATCCCTGCGCTCAAGCCAGGTGTTTGCAAGTTCTTTGAGACAGTGGTTTCCGACCTGTTTTTCATCCTGGGCTGCATCCTGACTGCCCAGCCTTGGCCAGCTAGCGCCAGCCCTGTCACCTCCACCCCTGCTGACACAGTGATATTGGTGCAGCCACGGAGTGAATCAGGGTGGAATGAGCCAAGAGGGAGACAGAGTATCCCAAGGGACTTCTGACACCAGGCCTGAGGAGCTCCTCAAATCCCCGCATGCCCCTTTCTGGACTCCAAGGAGCAGCCTCCCAACTCCCTGGCCTGGGTGCTGTCCAAGACCTTCCAACACCTGCTCCAAGAAACAGCCCCAGGAAGTCCTGCCCACCGACAAGGCCATCTGGTGTGCTTCACAACTCCAGCCACAGCAGAGGCGTGGCCTATGTGGGTAAGCATCCCTTAACCCAGATGGAGGCACCCCAGCTGGGCAGTTTACACACTGCTCGGCACAGGCTCTGGGGTCCGTGTCCCTTATGCCTTGTCTGCACAGGATGGGAGGGGAACTGGCCTCCACGCAGAAGAGTGGCAGCATCTCCTTCCTTCCAGTTCACCTTTGGTTTGCAATAACCTACGAGCTCTGTGCACAGAGCACCCCAGAATGAATCATTAGTGCTCACAGTCCAGACTGGGTAGGGGGAGGTACAGTTTAGTGCCATCAAAGACAGAGGTGGCACAACTGGAGTCAGAAAGGCAAGATGAGGGGCGGCTTCCAGAGTAGGAGATGCCTGCTGTCTTGTCTTTGAGGTAGAGCAGCCACAGAAGTCTGGAAGCGTGAGTGACAAAGGTGCATCAGGGAAGGGCTAGGTGTCAGAGTGGCAAGCAAAGGCCAGGCTGTAGCTAGGGTGGGAAAGGGGCCAGGCGACGCTTGATGCCATGCTGTGGGTTTTTGACTCTACATGGTAAGGACTATTAAGACCTTTTAGGCAACAAGGTCTAGGGGAGGCTGTCAGGGACCCTTGCCTTGTGCCTTGCTCCTGACCCTATCTGTCCTTTCTTCCTCAGGTAACACCATGAGGGGGCAAGACAGAGAAAGGAAAGGAGTATGGGCAGGAGCTGGGGGAGCCCTGGCCCCCAATACCTCCTCCCCCTTCCCCCCTGAGCCTCCGGAGGCCTCAGGCAGCATCATTCCGGTCTACTGTGCCCTCCTGGGCACTGTGGTCCTCGGTCTGCTTGCCTATGTGGCCTTCAAATGGTAGGTGTCCTGGACACAGCCCCTGCACGTCGGGATTCCCAGGCAGCTCCTTGCCTTGGTGAAGGTGGGAGCAGACTGGCAAGCAGCCCCTGCTCCCCACAGCTGGCGCTCACATAAGCAAAGACAGCAGCTGGCTAAAGCTAGGCCTGCAGAGCTGGGGCCCCTCAGCAGGGACCAGAGGCATGACGACAGCAGCGTCTTCCTGGACTCTCCTAGTGGTCTAGAGCCCTGTGCCTCCAGCCAGGGTGAGCCCCTTTCCTCACTCTGTAGCCCTATGGGTCCCCCTCGGGTCCCCCACCCTCATCCCTCATGATCCTCATGTCTCCTACCCCAGGGGTGCCCCCTGACCTTGGCTGCCGACTTTATCTTCACCTCCCTCGGCAGCAGCAGGAGGAAGTGGAGCGGCTCCTGGAGGTGCCAGGCGAACCTGACAAGGCCTGGCAGGGCCTGGCAGGTCATCTTGGGTACCAGGCTGAGGCTGTAGAGACCATGGCCCAGGGCCAGGTGCCAGCCTATACCCTGCTGAGGGACTGGGCCATCCAAGAGGGCAGCAGAGCTACCCTGAGGGTACTGCAGGATGCCCTGGCTGCCATGGGCCGGGAAGATGTCGTTCGGGTCCTGGGATCCCCAGGGGAGGGCTGCTCTGTGGTGTGAGTGATGTCCCCACAGCCTGCTCTGCTGGATCCCTACCACCCCTGCCTCCCCGGGGCACAACTTCCCTTCACTGGCTTCTAGCGTTGCGGGCTTTGGGTTGCGCTGTTCTGGGGAGAACACAGGATCCAGCAGCAACCCACATCCCCCTTGTGCCACCAGGACATGGAGGGGAGTAGGCAGTGAGGGGCAATCCTGCCCTCCCAGTCCCCACAGCGCCTCCCCTTAGCCAGCCTCAACTACTTTTGCTACTTTTGTATCCTATATTAAAGGTGACTTTGGACTTTTGTGCTGGCTCTATCTGGCTTCTTTTCTTTTTCTATCTGGCTTCTTGGGCTTGTGATGGTTATGATGCAGAGGCCCAGAAAAGGACTGAGTGCTGGGCAGGGTGGTGCACATCTGTAATCTCAACAACTTGGAGGCCGAGGAAGGACTGCAAGTTAGAGGCCAGCCTGGGGAACTTGGTGAAAACTCTGTTTCAAAAACAAGGGGTGGGGTGGTGCTGGGAACATAGCTCAGTGGTAGGGCACTTGCCCAGTGTGTGTGTGGCCAGGTTCAATGCCCAAGGGACAGGACAGAGAGGAAGAGAAAGAAAACAGGGCAGGTAGGGGCAGTCCCCAGGACAAGGGTGGCGAACCTATGGCACGAGTGCACAGCAGCTTTTGTTATGACCGAAAGCCCTAAATTAGGGTTTGCTGTCACTGCCCTAGGATGTGATGTGGACGCTCTCCAGAGAGCAGCAGGGATGGCGGGCAGGGCACTACTATAGTGATGCACAGATCGGAATTCCCGCCTGGCACCTGCCCTTCACTAGCTCGACCGTGTTCAGGGTGGTATGGCCGTAGCCTGGGTGGCTATTTGAGACCGTTCTCCAGAGGTGTGGTGTGATGACAAGGGGAGGCTGAAGGCCCGAACCACTTGACAGGCGATAGGCAGGCTGGTCTGGGGAGCTAGTTGCTGAGGACCTCGGGTCACCTCTAGACCAGGATGGAAGAAAGGCCTCTCCTTACAGGACCAGAACTGCACTCAGGAGAGAAACAGGCTTCCAGAGCTGCTGTGCAGCCTTTACACAAGCAGCTGGCAGGTCAGAGCAGGGCACAGGAGCAGGTAGATTGGCTACGGTGCCATCGAGGGCGGGGATGAGATGGGTGGCGCTGTGGTAGGAAGGCCCTACCTAGGAACTGTGGCTACCATAGCATGTACCAGGACCCAAGGGCTTCAGATCATCCAGCCTCACTGAGGACGCCTGGGCTCCAGGCATGGTCCAGTGGGGCCCGAGGTAGATCCTGTGTCTTCACTGAAGAGATGTGGCTGGGATGGGCTGCTTGTCCCAGACTGCTTCTGCTGTTCCTAAGAAATGATTTACAAGGGGTGCTTAAGACCCTGTCTTGCCCTTACTCAAGGAAGGGCTGGCAGTTTATAGCCATCTTCAGGCCATATATCCCTGCAGGATCAGGAGAGAGCAGGAAGGCTCAAGCCAGAAACACCACACTCTGCCTGAGCAGTCAGCCGCAGGGCTGTTGAGGATCAGGTCAGCAATGGGCCTAAGATTCTGCAATGAGTGGCAAGTACTGGTGTGCTTTATCCCAACAGGAGGGGATGTAAACCTGAAGGGGGACGGAAAAGACTCAACGGAGGTGTAAAAAACTGGGAATTCCCTCAAAGGTGTCTTAGCTGAAAAGTGACAGCGCCCTGGTGCCACCCTTTAATGGAAGTCTAACCTTCCTTGGAAAACCTGAAACCTGGAGCCTGGATCAAAACCATGGGTTTGATTTAGTTGTGAGCTGCAGGGGGAGAGGCCACACCCATTACTGCAAACTCACCCAGAAGAGGCACACTCCCTTTCAATGTGCTCAAGCACAGGATGAACAGTTTGCAACAGGCACAACTAGAAAGCACTAAGAGGGCTGAGCAAATTCTGTGCTTTTCAGGGTTTTGCAGGCTGCATGCAGTACCATGGGAAACAGGCCTCATCTGTACCCGTGGGCCCACATCCCTGGAACACCATTCACACAGTGTTTACAGTGTGCTAGGTACCGCATAATCCAGGTACACGGGAGGACATGTATAGGCCATATGTGAATATTACATCGTTTAAGGGACTCGAGCACACAATTTTGGTATCCAAGGGGTCCTGGAACCAATCCCCCATAAATGGTAAGGGAAGAGTTGTTAAACAGCATGTATTGTTACCACAAAGTAAGGATTTTTATCCTTGTTGAAGAGTTCCTTTAATACTAGAAATGTACATGAGTTATTATCCTTCCTGAGGCTACTGCCTCATCAATAAGGCCAATTCCTGTGCCTCAGGGTTGTTATATGACTACAACTTGAGCTCCCAAATGCTCAGCACAGTGCCTAGCAGGCAGTGGGTGCTTTCTGCAGCCCAAGATGTGGCAGCCACTACTGTGGTGAGCAGACCCAGTCTGGTGAGGAGAGGTGGGCTCTTGCTGAAGCTCTAGGCCCTCCTCACTGCCCAGACCCTCGAGGCAGCAACAAGGCTACAAGGGGCCCACCTCTGTGAGATGTCCACTCTCACTGTCTGTGCTGTACCCTTTCACAGAGGCCCTTTCTGCCCAACCTGCACTGTCCTTCCAGCATGGCAGGAGGCACACTGAGGAGTCAAGAAGCAAAACATGGGATGAGTTTCCAGTGGGCTGGGAGAAATCAAGCCTCTGGAGGGAAGAGATCCAACGCTTCTCTCCAGCCAGGAGGCAGCAAGGGGCAGATGTATTTGCCTTCTTGACAGACCCACTAACCAAAGCAGCCTCGTGCCAGTGAGGCCTTAGGTCACACTTCTGCTCTGGAATGCCTATGCAAGCTGACCCAACCCAACTCCAGCCACAAGATCCTAACGAAGCCCACAGATGTCAGCCTCTGGACAACTTGTCTGCTTCAGCCACAGGACCCGTGGGAACAGGCTTGTAATAAAATCCAGGAGCAAGGCTTAATCTTGAACTTCACACAATGGCCACTACCTCTCCTTTCTCAACCAGTGACATCATGACACACAACATGCTTGATTAACTTTTACAGAACACACATGCCAAGTTCTTTAATTCATTTTATTTTTTACATAAAAAGTTCAGTAAAAATTGGATAAAGTAAAGTGATTTTAAGCAGTAAATCAATCTTATCAACAGAGCACACGGCTAGCCAAAACCACAAGGCAGCCTGCTTTGGAATATTTACATGATAACAAATTAAACCTTGCAGGAGAACTTAAACCACCCTTACAAAGTCTTTCTGTGATCCTAGCATATAGAGGCTAAAGCAAAACAAAAACCAAACAAAAACCAAGAAAAAACAAATTATTTTCAATATATTCACATATACATTAAAATATAATACAGATCGTCAGGGTAAAGGGTCTTGGGTGGGGACGCGCATGGGTCTGTGCGCTGACAGCACCGCCAAGGAGGAGACCCAGGTGGAAAGTGGGGTCGAGTCAGGCTTGGCCAGGGTCTTCCCTGGGCTATTCCCTCTGATGACCTCTAACCACAGCCCAATTGCTTGAAACTAGGGGTCATCTGCAGATGGAGTTCATTTTGTGGCTTTCAGGTGACACCTGCAGGCTTGAGTTCCCAGGGTGACGTGTCATCAGTAGCACAGCCCGACGGTGGGGGTGGGACAGAGGCCCAAGGAATTTCTTCTCCCAGGCTGGCCTGTCTGATCAGCCGTCCTCCCACCCTGGCCCCACTGGTCACTCTAACTCCGTGTCCTCTTTGGGTTTGTAAACAGCCCCAAACTTCTGCATGTACTTCTTTATATACTCCTTGGTTTTGTGTTTCACATTCTCATTGCACTCCAGGTCCTCAGGGTTCTTACAGTACTTCAGCTCCTTGTTCATAACACCATGAGTCAGCTGTCCAGGGCACAAGAAAAGAGACCACAGCTCCCATCAGAGTGGAAATGATGTGAAGGAGAGGGCAACCCAGCCTGCTGCTATTGGGCCCTTCCTACTGAGCCTGGGAGTTGGGTAACAGGGTGGATCGGGCAGGCTGGTGGCTGGGATCACCAAAGGCTCAGCACTTAAATTTTTTTAGAGGATACTCCCCTCCCCAAACCTTCCCTCCTTTTCCCGAGCCCCCAGCCCTGGCATCTGGGCAGCAAAACCACACTTTCTATGATAAAGGGGGCCATCCTAGAAGGAACACAGGTTGTCAAGACACCAAAAGACCAGCGGGCAGTGGAGTACCTTTCGAGCTAAGTGTTTGAAATCCTCAGTTGTGGTGATTCTGCCTACTTTGCAGTCAGGTTTCCGGTAAGGGTTCAGGCACTGGACGATGAACTGAGACATCTGCAGGTGGAGGAAAGGGAGCATACTGCTCAACAGTACAAACCGGGCAAGGGTTGTGCTGAGGGAACAATGAGAAAAGGCAGCAAGCATGGCCAGCCAGTGCATTCCTCTTTCTCCCTCAGGGCGGCTGGCCTGGACGGTGGAACGCCAGCAAGCCAGTGAGCTTAAGAGAAGATGATCCTGGCTCTGGCCTAAGAGGAAAGGTGCTCTCTTGAGGGAAGGTGCTCTCCTGGATGGACTGAGGGACCCTGCAACAGGACTCTCACCACAGCCTCAGGTGTCAGTCACTACATTGTGCCCTTGGCATAGGAAACTAAGCTAGGTTCCCTGGCCACTGGAGGCAGGACAGGTACTCCAGAGCTACAAGGAGCCTCTGTAAGCCCAGGAAGCAAGCCCTAGTATGTTGTCCTCGTAGATCACTGAGAGTCTGGAGGTGCTACCCTTTGCTCACTTCATGTCACAGCCATGTGAAGCTGCGGGAAACATAATACAACAGCCAGATGAAGACAAACCATGGCAGGGCCTTCTTCATCCCACCACTCCCAGTGTCTTCCCCCTGGGCCGTCTCAGTAGGGTCTATCCTACCCAGTGGCTCTCAAAAGAGGCCAAGGACATCTGGAAGTACTGCACTTATGAAATATACAGGGACAAAGGGCAAAAAAAGGCCAGTGACAGCTACTTTGCTTCTGAGCTTTCAGACATTCAAAGAACAAGTCTGAGGCAGGCCCGGTATACATGCCTGTAATACTAGCACTGAGGAAAGCTGAGGATGGAGAATCACAAGTTCCAGTCCTACCTGGACAACTTAATGAGACCCTGCTGCAAAAAATAAAAAAGACTGAGGATGTAGCTCAGAGGCAGAAAATCTCTAGGTTGTTTTGATCCCCAATACCATCCCCTATCTCCCCAAAAAGGGCTAAAGGACTGCCTCTTTTCTTAATCCCTTGAGAGTAGGTGACCACCAAATGAGATATCCAAGAAAGAGAAGTAGAATTTGAGCCTGAGTTCTTTTGTCAAGAACATAACTTTTCTGAAACTTAAGAATTCTTCTACCTCTGTAAGAATGACAATCTCTGCCTCGCCTACCTCAAGGGCTATTGTGGGGATAAAATGAAATAATGGATATGAAAGTGCTACACTGTTGTCAAGGTCCATCCCAATGTGTCATCATCTACAACTACACAGTCAAATCACAGAAGTAAGCGAGCACCCAAAGAGAATACAACCTAACACTACATCCAGCTTTCCTTTGCCTCGGAGAGTACAAAGGCCCACAGTGAAACAGGCCATGTGGTATGCAGAGGGGCTCCTGTTAAGCCAGTAAGAAATGGCTGAGGAGGGCTGAGAATGGCATAGACTCTCAGGCACAGTGCCTGCCTGGCAAGCCTCGGGCTCTGAGTTCGATTCCTGGTACCAAAAAAAGAAATGGCTGAGCAGTTCTCAATGGGAAAAGCAACACTTATCAAGACACACAAGGCAAATCTTATGTTTTTGCCCATCTTGGAGCAAGGGAAATATTGCATAGACTTAAAACAAGGAAGGGCACGGCTCTTCCAAACCTTACCTCTTTTCTGAACACTTCTTTGCTTTTCTTAGCCAGCTCACTGGAAGTGTCTGCTTCTGCTGTCTTGGGCTTTTTTGATGTCTAGAAGTGGAAAACACAGCAATGCTCACATGAGAAATCAGTTTAGCGACGCCCTATTATCTCCAGAGTGTCCCTTTCTTTTTTTTGAGACAGGGTCTCACTATATAGTTCAGGCTGGTCTTGAATTCACTACACAGCCCAAGCTGGCCTTGAACTTGTGGCGATCCTCTTGGCTCAGCCTCCTGAGTGCTGAGATTACAGGCATGCGCCACCATGCCTGGCCAGAATGCCCCTTTCTTCCCCCTGCTGGGTTACCTGACTCTTGAATTGGGATCCACTTTAGAAGTCCTGACTTGGGCATGGCTTTCAGTCAACTTGGCTGTTCTGTTTCAAATCCTGTCATCTAGCTCTGGCCTCCCCCAGTTAAGGCGAGTTCCTCTACCTGCGTCAAAGCTACATCCTTCATATAGGCATACACTTCCAGTTGTTTCAGAGTCACTCTCTCTGCAGCAGAACATGCTGTATGACCTGGACCTTCATGTCCTTGTTCTGAGCTTCAGCTCCCCACATTGCCAAGTGAGGCCTGGACTCAAGGAGTTCAACCTCTCCTGTCTCTGACATTCTAGGGCTCCAGAAGAAAGGCAAATGCTCTGTTCGGAAGGTCTGTTTCTCATCACATTTCCTCCAAAGGTAAAGCCAGCTACACTCTTAAGAGAAGACAGTCTCAGTACAAAGGAGAGGCTCTTTGGAGACTGGCACCTCCAGCTCAGGAACAGAAAGACTAAGGGGTGGGCGTGGTGGCAGCAGCCGTGGTAGTAGGGAGCCATGTATTATTCCAGCCAATGAACAGGTAAGTAGATGCTAAGACACAGAAGATGCTTGGTCCAAAGCTGGCAGGATGATAAACCACTCCCTTCCAGCAACGCTAGAGGAGAGGTTGAGCTAGCCACCCTGCCATTCAGGCTATTTCCCCACACCTTTACCCATCACTAGCTCTCAGGCCCCTTCTCAGTAAAGGTGCTTTCCCATAGAGAGAAGAATTACGAGCACAGCCTCTGAATACAAGTTATTGCAGATGGATCTAGAAGCTACAGTAGGTGCTAGAGGTATTTCACACTTTTGCTAGAGGCTTAGGACAGAGAACTTTTTCGAGCTCCTCCAACCCATTCCCCAGGTTCTGTTTCCTTTATTTCCCTGAACAGCATGAAGACTCTGGTGCTGAAGAAGCTATTCATCTCCCTCTGTTCTAGACTGGCTCCCAAAAAAGGTAGTCCTCCATTGGCTTTGGATTGCTACAAATCAGCTTTCTCTAATTTGTTACAAGAGATTTACGTATTTTCTATTTTTCTACTTTCTGTGGTTGTGGAAGAATGGGGGAAGACAGCTTTTGTGGGGGGCGGTTGAATAGAAAGAACATACAGATCCAACTTCTGTTTCTGGAAACGAAACAAAACACGAGTAACTATTTTGTTTTATTTTTGTTTTTTTTGAGACACGGTCTTGTTTTATAGTTTAGGCTGGTCTTGAACTATGTAACCTAGGCCAGCCTTGAACTTGTGGTGATTCTCTTGCCCCAACCTCCCAAATGCTGACAAGTATAACTATTTTGAAAAGTTGTGCTTTGAGGTTTTTATTGTAGCTGTACAGTAATGGGGGCGTTCTACAATAAGATCTTTGGTACCAAAGGACCAAGTATTTGAATAAGCCAAGGAAATTTCAACACACCCCCCAGCTACTGTCTTACAGATCTGAGAAGTGAGGAGTGCAAAGAGGTATAAAAGTGACCAAGTAAAAAAAAAAAAGTGACCAAGTATGACAATCATCTCAAGGATGCCAGTGTCATGGAAGAGGCCAGGCGCAGTAGGTTACTGTGTACTGTGTTTCCCTCTAACAGGGTATAATATTCAGGAAGCTAAATAACTGTAATGGATATTTAAAACCTTTCATACTTGATCTCTGGTAAAGTTGGGAAAGCTTTAAAAACACAGCTATAGGGCCAGGGATTTAGCTCAGTGGCACAGCACCTGCCTGGCAAGTGCCAAGGTCCTGACTTTGATTCCCAGTACCAAAAAGGAAAAAACAAAAAACAAAAAACAAAAAACCCCCACAGCTATTGAGCACAATCCACTGAGTTCCATCTAGGACAAGGGTGGCGAACCTATGGCACACATTCTGCAGCCAAGCTGTTTGTTATCATTGAAAGCTCTAAAAGGTTCGCCATCACTGGTCAAGGAATTTTGTGGGTCTTTTTTTTTTTAAACCGGGGATCAAACTCGGAACCTTGTGCTTGCGCAGCAGGCACCAGAATCACTGAGCTAAATCCCCGGCTCTGTGGGTCCTTTTGAGTACTCACCAATTGGGCCTGAGAAGGTTGCCCAGACTTAGATCACATAAATCATGACCAAAATGAAGTATTCTTGGGAGTACCAAAATTCGCAAACCCTGCTTTTCTTGGTCTGCAAATGGCATAGGAAGTAACTTCAGCAACCAACGTTTCTTCAAGCCCAGTGCCAAGCAAAGAAGCCAGATGAGAGGCTGAGTCACAATTGAAGATTTATTATCAATACTTCCAAGCTTGGGACTGCCCCCACCCTCATTCTCAAAAAGTCCCATTTACAATTTTAGCTTTTTTTTTTTTTTTTTGGTGCCGGGGATTGAACTAGGGACCTTGTGCTTGCAAGGTAGGCGCCGGAACCACTGAGCTAAATCCCCGGCCCTAATTTTAGCATTTTAAACAGTAAAACATTAACACCGAGTATCACTGACCATCCCAAAAGCCTACTACAATTAAAAAATCTTTTAGTATCAGAAAGACATTAGACTGGACCAGTAGTCCCGAATATACAATACTCTACTTCATAGGTAGGGAATTATTTATATACCTATATGTCAAGGGCTTTGCTGAGGTCTGAAAAAAGCACGAGAGTACAGTGGTGACTCTACTATACAAACAGCAACGTGTTCCCACAACTTCAGCAATAATCAGTTTGCCTTTTCTCTATGTTGCTTATATGGGGCTGTTTTTCTCTATCAGGCATCACTCACTGGAACATTTTGGTGTGAGCAGCAGCCAGATGAGAGCACACAATGAAATAAAGACAAAAGGGCCTGGCAGAAAGCCAGAGCCTGCTGCTTTTAGAAGCTGACTTGCTGTCAGCCTTTCTCTCTCTGTGGCACAGATTTCCAAGAAACCTAGTGTGGATACAACAAGGGAGGCCTCAGTACCTTTACCTCAACCAGGGTGAAACCTGAGCGCTGGCTTAGTTGGCAGTGGCCTTAAGCTTACTGGGTGGCTCTGGGATCTACACACATACCATAATAACACACATGCAAATCCATCCTTTATTACACAGACACAACAGGTCACAGAGTCCATACATATTGGAACTACAGGGTATGGCCCGAGTTACACACTTGATCCTAGCCAAAAGGCAGAAAAGCGACTTGGCCTGAGTTACAGAAATGAACCCAACAAATGGACAGCAGAGTATACTTAGCTAATGCCTCTCTCTCTGCAAATCTAATTAAATATATCTTGGAACATGAACTGTAAAAGATGACTCCATAAGGAACTGAAACCCAACGTGGTGGTGCACACTTATAATCCCAGCACTTGGGAGGCCAAGGCAAGAGGCTCGCTGTGAGTTCAAGGCCAGCCTGGACTACACAGTGAGACTGTTTCAAAAAAAGAAAAAAAAAAGGAACTAGATCTTTTGGGTAGCATGAATCCAGAAGCAGAAGAGGAAGCTGTGTCAGAACTTTACACATACAATTCAACCTCAGTTCTACAACATGTTAACATTAAAAGCTTAAGAAAAGATACTTGAAAAATTGAAAAAACAAAACAAAACAAAACACCTCAGTGGATTATGTTTCAGTAGCAGAAACAGCAAACTAGCTTATTTCCTGGGGTACATCTAGAAAAGGCTCTAGATGAACCTTAATTTGTCAAGAAAAAGGCAAGGAGTGGTGGGAGTGGAAGGACAGAACAAAAAGACTTCTATGCTATGGCATATTCTAGCAACAATGTTTCAAAACTCTGAACTACATACAATCTCTATGTGCTTCATTCAGAGGGAAGCAGGGTTGACAAAAACCAACCAACCAATCCTAGAGCAGCTGTGGTGAATGTGCCACACGTCCTGCAGCAGGCACATACAACTCTCTCTGCTGGCACAGGAGCCAAGTTGCCTCAGTTGTTTTTTCCAAAATAAAGCCTCAGTATTCAGCTTTAACTGCAATGTTGGCACTCTGTGATAAGGAAGTGGGTTTTGGGTTGTAGTTTGAGCACTTGGGTCTCTAAAAGGTTCACCAACAGTGCCCTAGAACTAGCCTGGATGTGGTGGCACACACCTGTAATCCCAGCTACTCAAGAGGCTGAAGGCCAGCCTGGACAACTTAGTAAAACTCTGCCTCAAAATAAAATTTTTAAAAAGGGACTGCAATATAATGTAGTAAGACTCTTGGCTCTGAGTTCCATTCCAAGTGCTGCCAAAAAAAAAAAAAAAAAAAAAAAAAATCAATCAAGACAAAAATACCCTGAGCTAAAGTTCTTTAAGACATTACTAGGAACCCAGGGGGTCCCTACTCTCTGCACCTGGTCCATAAGTGTAATGCAGCCCTGGAGGGTTCTCTCGCGCCCCTACCTGATGACCAAGTTGTGCTAACAGGAACTTAACCATCTTCTCCATAGAGATCTGTATTACAGCTTCTGAAAATCCCCTCTCCATTACTGGCAAGTGATTTTGTATGAAATCATTTTGTAAAAAATGGGATCATCAACTGAAAAAACTCATGGCCCTCGGGCCGGAGATTGAGTTCAGTGGTATCGCTCCTGCACAAGATCCTGAGTTTGATTTGTTGTACCAAAAAAAAGAAAGAAAATAAACTTATTGCCCCCAACCCCACCTTCTGCAACTTACTTAACCTAACAAATACTCTACAAGTTCTATTTTAATGTAACAGAGGACATCTATTATACTTCGAGACTCAATGTTAATTTTAAGCCAGGAGATAACAGCAAATAAACTGCTCTCAATTGTGCAAGCAGTCAGCAATGA